AAACAAAAAAATAAGTAAAAATTCAGAGTATTAATGAAATTTAATTATAATTATTAAATATATAAAATACAATATAAAATATAATTTTATTAAATTTATTATATAAAATTATTAAATATCTTGATGTTAAAAAATATCAACGTATCCAATTTTTTCTTTACTCTTTATTATAATTGTTATAATATATGTTGATTTTAACGAAACAGTGTGGTTATCACGCTACCTAAAAGCAGAAACAATAGAGGAGACTCAACTAATAAAACGACGACGTTTGACCAGTTAGGCGCGGACGGAGGGCAGTCATGTAACTGTATAATGCATCCAGAGCAAGTAAAGCATCCTAAACTGGAATAAGTCTCACTTCAACGATTCAACACTAGCCACTCCATCACCTCCTCCGGCCAGATTTCTCCATTTCATTTCCCTAGGGTTTCTCTGAAACATTTTCCCGAGAAACAACCAGAAACTACTGACGGACATGCAAAGCAAAACCTACTCTTCCTGAACATTGACCTGGAAACTGAAATCGCAAACCCTAGACAGTTTAGACTTCCATGACAAGGAATTGTGTTTTCTTGAAAGATTGAAGAGGAAAAGGGAGTCTGCTGGTGATTTGTTTTGGAAGAGACGAGTTAAGATAGATGGAGAGATCCAGATCTAAGAGAAACTACTATTATGACCAGGAGTATGAGGGGGATGGCATGGGAGGGAGGAGTAATAAGCCACGGTATAATAACCACCACTATGGTGGTGTTAATAACCACCGCTACCACCGTGGAAGTACCAACAGCAACAGTCGTGCTGCCTCCAAGGCGCAGCAAGATCCTTCGTCGCTCACGGTCACCACCAGCTACCGCATTCTCTGCCACGATATGAAGGCAGGGGGCGTGATTGGCAAGTCCGGGAGCATAATCAAGTCAATAAGGCAGCATACTGGCGCGTGGATCAACGTCCACGAGTTGCTGCCGGGAGATGAGGAGCGGATTATTGAGATTTCCGACACGCGCCGCCGTGACCCTGAGGGGAGAATGCCGGCGTTCTCTCCGGCGCAGGAAGCGCTGTTTCTGATTCATGACCGGATTCTGGAGAGTGATGGTGGTGGTGTTGATGGAGGAGAGGAGGAGGATTATGGAGGGGTGCGGAGAGGGGGAAACAGGGTTGCGACCAGATTAGTGGTTTCGAGGATGCATGTGGGGTGTTTGTTGGGGAAAGGAGGAAAGATTATCGAGCAAATGAGAATTGAGACCAAGACTCAGATTAGGATTCTTCCTAGAGACCATAATCTGCCCCGTTGCGTTTCAATATCTGAGGAGATCGTTCAGGTCTGCACATTTTATACAAAACTTTTGGAATTTGCCTTTGGATTTGGATTTGGATTTGGATTTGGATTTGGATTTATACAACATGGAGGAGTGATACTGCCTGGGGTTTAAATATTTTCCTGTTTAAATGCACAGATTTAATATAGTAATTGGCTGTTAAATGTTGTACTGATTATGGGGTTCGGCCCTTGCTTCAGAAGTACTTAGCTGAACTAAGTCCACAATCTGGGTTTGAAATTGAATGAATGCTATCCGTGAATTATAGGAGTCACTGCTGCATTCTTCCCTTGCGTCAGACTAAAATATAACTACTCTTGACTTCTCACCTTGTCAAAACAAAACAAAACAAAAGCATGGTCCATTTTATTATGGGGTTCATTGGTGATGCTGGTGTCATGCTGTTGTGTGTTACCACCCTAGGTTTGTGTTCTGGTGTACTAAGAAAATTCCTGGACTAATGAATGTGAGGGGGAGGTTTCATGTCTTGAGTATCCCCTTTATGGTGGCTATTGCCTATTTTAGAATTTGAACAAATCTATTGTTTCCTTAATTTGTCCAAAATTGTTGTGGAATGGATGGGAGAATTTGTATGCACTTTTAACAACAATTTCTGAAGATTCAGCATTAACCGTTTGTTTTCCTATTCCACACTCAGCGGAAGATATTGAAATGGAATTGCTTATCATAGGATTTTTTATTTGCCTCACAGGTTGTAGGTGATATGAATAATGTGAAAAATGCTATAGCTATTATATCATCACGCTTGAGGGAGAGTCAGCATCGTGACCGCAGTCATTTCCATGGACGATTACATTCACCAGAAAGGTTTTTTCCTGATGATGATTATATGCCACACATAAGCAATGGTACACGTCGGTCGGCAATGGATGGGGGTGCTTTTGGTTCACGAGGTTACAGAAACAATAACTATGCCTCACGCACTTCTAGCTATACTCATGAAGTTGGATCTGCTCCCATGGCTGATGGTGCACAGCCTGATTATGTTGAGGACCTTGTGTTTCGAATTCTTTGCCCAATTGAAAGGATTGATAGTGTTGTTGGAGAGTCAGATGGCATAGTGGATTTACTCCAAAATGAAATTGGTGTGGATGTCAAGGTTGCTGATCTTGTGCCTGGGTCAGATGAACAAGTAATAATAATTTCTTCTGAGGAGGTACCCACCATCTCTCTGTCTCTATGTTTTTACATGGGCAGATAATTACTGTGCCTTTGGAACTCTGTTTTTCTTATTTCATTAATGTTTAGTATTGACTTTCTGTTTGATTAGGCCTACTTTGCTGACAAGTTTCATCTACCCTATATTGCTAAGTTAGATCATGCATGCTGACATAACCTAGTGTTTTTTAATGTCCTTGATCTTCTATGGAACTTCGAAGTGTTTTTCAATGGTTCTAATGCATCTTTGATGTTTGTGTCTTTAGGGTCCTGACGATGAGTTATTTCCAGCTCAAGAAGCTCTGTTACACATCCAAACTCGCATTGTTGACCTCATTCCTGATAAAGATAACATCATAACTACTAGGTTACTTGTTTCATCTAGTGAAATTGGATGCCTAGAGGGAAAAGATGGATCATTATCTGATATGAGAAGATTAACTGGTGCAAATGTACAGATTCTGCCGAGGGAAGAATTTCCTCCATGCGTATCAGGAACTGATGAGATTGTACAGGTTTATTACATACACAGACTACCTAATTGTTTGTGAGACCTCAATGACATAAAGATAACATCATATCTGATTCAAAGTGTTTATAAAATGTAATTTTTTACTAAAAAAACATAAAGCTCAAAGAGGATATTTGTATTGACTACAGATTGTGGGTGAGATAAAGGCAGCTCGAGATGCACTTGTTGAGGTGACTTCAAGATTGCGCAGTTACTTATATAGTGAGTTCTTTCAAAGGGACACACCTACACCTATCTCTGCACCAGCTCCTGTTGGGAATACTACAGGAATGGAGACTGCTTCTCCTAGTAGCCTAACTCCAGCTCGTGATAGTCAAGTGGGTAGTGAACCTCCTACAGCTACTCATCAAAATGTGCAAATTGTGGCTACATTGCAGCCTTCAAAGGTTGTTTGTTTGTTGTTACTCTGTTAATGTTGGTTTTCCTTTTACTTTGTTTTTCTTTCTTTTGCATTCTTTACATTTAGTGGTTTAAATTGTGAATATTTTCAGAAAGAGGGACCTAATGATTCAAAAATGATTTTCTTAACTTTCTTAGATTAAGATGTAATTCTAAATTGCTTTTTAGCCTGCTGAGGTTAATTGCTCTTGTATGATTTGTAAGTGATGACTGTCTTGGAAGTGTTGGAGGGTCTTCTTTCTGTGTTCTAAAAACTTAATTGTATTTTGTAGGACGTGGTGGGCTCCACTGCTGAATCACTGAAGCAGAATGAAAGTGATCGCCGTGACGATGTACCCAGTACAATCAACAGGTAACTTGCTTTGTTTTATCCATTTGGCCTTCTGCATTTAAGGTTGTATTGTACCAATGGCTTTTTTTTACTATCTCTTATCTTTGCCTTCTATTCCTACTTAAGATTGAAATGGATAATGGACCATTAGCAATTAAAGTTCCCTTTTCTTGTTTTTGTCCCATTAGAATTCCTGTACCCCTTGTAACTAGAAGTACCCTTGAAGTTGTCCTACCGGAATATGCAGTTCCAAAGCTCGTGACTAAGTCAAGAAACAAACTAGCACAGATCAGTGAGGCAAGCACCTGTGTATCATTTACTGCCTCAACTTCAGTCTAGTTTAGTTAACACTGTCCAACTGATTAATCTCTTGAACTTTATTTTGTTATAGTTTTCTGGTGCCAACATAACCCTGCTAGATGATAGACCAGAGGTTACGCCAAAGATCATTCAAATATCAGGCACTCCAGAGCAGGCTGAGAGAGCCCAGAGCTTGCTTCAAGGCTTCATCTTGAGCAGTAAGTTCCTCTGTTTATCCTTGTTAAGGCATGACTGATTATGATAATTTCCTTCACCCCCTGTCATTAAGCCAGCATTTCACTTAGCATTTTCTTTTATTGACTCAGCACAAGAAGATGAACCTTAGTTTACCGAGAGTTAGGAAGACCGAAATCCAGAGTGTTGTCTGCTGGAAAGGTATTAACAAATTTTCTGCTATACAAAATCTCATTATCCGGAGTACAAGGGCCATTGTGCTTCTTGCTGTTTGTTTGTATGTCTTTTAACTTTGCCGCTTTTCTAGAATATGACTGTTTAAAGGAATGAACTGTGCTGTAAATGTAATCTAGGAAGCTCTTATCTGAGTTTCCCTGCCATGCTTCAATTTTCGTGTATGAAGAAATACAGCGGGTTGAAATGTTATCCATTTTCTTTCCTATTGTCTCTCTTGGAAGTTGGATCTATCACCCACTTCAGTACTTAATCCAAGTTCAATTGCCTAGTGCCCTGCTTAGCTACTGTCATTTGTGCTTGTGAAAAAAATCTTTTTTGTTACCATAGTTAGAAGCTAAGCCAAATGTAGGGCCTGTTTGGTGCAGATTGTGGGAGCTTCAGCTTTTGGACACTATTTATGTTTTATGAATTTAAATTTTCCTCTTAAAAACTTACACTTTTAAATATTTTTTTAACCTCAAAAAGCTCTTAAACAGTAAAAGTTCAAAAGTTTTAAATTCAAATTTTTCATAAACTCTTTTTTTACTTACTTTTTACTCATTTTTTTACTTTTTTAAAAGCTAAAGCTCTATTTTTTTTTTCAATAAAAATTTAAACTTATCACTCATAACAGTACTCAAAAAGTTAAAACTCTCAGAAGCCACACCAAATAGGCTCGTAGTATCTTGAACAGTGTTTTTGATTTTGTTAAAAGCTATTTTCTGCATGTAACTAAAGGGTTCGAAGTTAAAGTTATAAATTTATAACTTTTCGAGTAGAGTTTCTGCTGTTAACTTAATAATTTTTATTAATTTTAAATTTTTATGTTGTTTTATATGAATTTATATGATTTATTTATTTATTTTTATAGAAGTTTTACTAATATTACACTTTAGATACTACCACTAACCATGCTCTAATTTCCGTTTTATTCCTTCCCTTTAAATTTTCTTCCATCTATGGAATTTGTCCTCGGTTATTATTTTCCACTCCATCTCAACAATAGGGTTTGATTTTCCGGAAGTGCAGGAAAGACAGCACTTATGCCGTGTTCCTGCAATTTCTTACCGTTAAAATTAACGAAACAAAAACATATGCATATTCGCAAGGAGAAAGGGAAAATTAAGATTTTTTAACATTAAAAATATTAAGATATTAAGATATTTAATAATAATTACATGATAAATTTAGTAAAATTAAAACTTATATTATATTTTATATATCTAATAATTCATTATTATTATTATTATTATTATTATTATTTTGGATACTTTATAAAGTATAAATGTCTCGGCCGCATAAAACGAACCATTGAAAGGGAGGGGCCCTGGATGTAGGGCTGTTGTCCCCATCAATTATTGCTTTTCTGTCCTAACGATGAAAAAAGCGTTCTGGGCCGAAAAAGCATTCTGCTTTCCAGGTTAGTCCTCGCCTGTTTATTTGTTAATTTATTAAATAAAAAGTGTTGTACAGGTGAGATTGAACATTATAAATAAATTTTAGATATTGGTATTATTAAAATAAAATAATAGTATTTATTAGCTTTATTTTTTAAAAATTAAGAAAAAAATTTTCTTAAAATTACATCGTTTTAATAAATATTTATTAAAAAAGATTAAAATACTTTATTTTTAAAGCATACATTAATGTATTTTTTGTTTTTTTTTCTTTTAATTTTTTAAAAGTAAGGTGGATAAGTACTAATTTCTTAAAATAATCTTAATAAAATTTATTTTTATATTTATTTAATAATAACATTTTAATAATTTTGATTTTAGTGTCTGAATTTTGAACATTAAAATAGGAATATAAACATTAATTATTTAAAAATATTAGATAGTTTAAAATACTTAAAACTTATATAACTTTAGAGTATATTTAGTAAAACTTCTAAAAGTTTTTATTTTTTTTATTGTTTATGAGTGATAAGTTTACATTTTTATTAGAGGAAAAATTTAAAAATTACTTTTAAAAATAGAAAAAAGTGAGTAAGAAATGAGTAAAAAAAAAAAGTTTATAAAAAACACAAATTTTAAGTTTTTTAAAATTTATTGTTTAAAATTTTTTTAAAGTTAAAAAAATTAAAAAAATATAATTTTTTAAGAAAAAAATTTTAATTTATGAAATATAAATAATATCAAAAACCTAAAACTCTTACAAGTTTTACCAAACATACTTTTAATGTTAAATAGGATGAGTCTTTTGATATTTGAGTTTCTTATTTTGTTTAATAATTTTTATTTTATAATTCAATACAATTTAAATAGTAAAATAATAAACTCAATTATTTTTTTACTGTACAAAAAGAATCATAATTAATTTCCTTTATTTATTTTTTATTTTTTGATGGTGAAATCGACCTTGATCAAATACGAACCGGCCCAACGAAACGCTGTCCTATGGTTACTGGGCCTAAACCCAAAATAAAGACCTTTCAATCTTGAAAGTTAATTCACTTGGCACTATCCTTCCTTTAGCACCTACCCACTGTTATCTGGTTGTATTACTCTCTCTGGTACAGAACTGCACACTCACCGTCTCTGGCGCAGCATCTGGACTCCGAAGCTTCTCCGCCGTGTAACTTCCGACCATGGCGACTTCCTTCTTTCTTCCCTCCACTTCTTTCAGCAATTACAGGTGCCCTCCGTCTTCCAATATTTATATAAATGCCTGCCTCTTTGTATCTATCCATGATTGAGCTTGCCCACCACTTTCTCTGTAATTTTCTCTAGTTACAAACATTTCAAAATTCAAATTCCTTTCGAGTTCCTTTATCTGGGTATTTTGATTTGCTTCCTTCTGTCTTATAACCCTCACTAATTCAGTCTTTTCAAAATTTAAGTGGTGGCATATGTGGGGTTTTTATTTTTTATTTTTTATGCCTACGATTGGACCTTACAGACGAAAAGGGAATGCCCAGTTGAGGAGGTGTATAATAGGGCTTATGTAGGATTAAATTTGTACTAATTTTCACTGGATAAATAAAATCTCATTTGTACTACCATACTCAGAACATCAAGCTTAAGTCATGTGGAATGAAGACATTATTTTTAGTGAGCTAAAAGGATTGCAACTAGAGCGGTCATGTATGGTCATATGAATGTCATATTGGTGCAATGAAAAGGGAGTCATAATTGCGCTTTATGTAGACTTCTGGAAATGTATTAGAGAATATGGAACAGGAGTCAAGTGATATCCAAGTAACTGAAAATAGTCTTCTTGTTTTCTTAATAGAAGTGGCTGATGGGCCTCATTGGTTTTGCAGCTGAATTACTTGGGTTGGTTTTGCTATATACTGATGGATTATGACTCAATTACCTTGTCTTTCTTAATATTCATCCAGGGTAAACCAAGGGTGTGTAAACTTGCATTCAGGGTATTGGCAGAAGGGCATCAGGTGCTTCTCAGTATGTCTCCAGAAGCAGAAATGGAACTGGAAATTTTATATAATGACCAATAGAAATGTTTCTGTTCATTTTGTATTGAAAACGTTTGCTGCTACTGGTTCATTAGAAGCAGATGTGGCATGCAACAATCAAGATTCTTCGGGTGTTTCAGCTCCAAACAACTTCCTGAGGTGGGAACTTTATCCCCTGTAATTTTTTTTTTTTGCTTAAATTGATTGTTTGGCAGGAAAAAAAAAAAACTTGCTTTCCCTCCACTCAATGTTACTAATACCTGTTATCTTTTTTATTAGCTGAAACATTTTCTGTTCATTGGCTTTAGTGTAATTGTATAAGTCATAGAAGGGTTAATAGGAGTTTCTTAGGATCTTAGGATTAAATCTGTTCAGTAGGAAGATCTGACATTGTTCCAAGTTCAGAACAAGTAAGTTAATCCTTTCTCTACATAAAAGCTTTTGTAAATGTAGGAAAATGTTGAAATGCATTGATAGTAACTAAGTTTCAGATAAGAGAAGTTATTACCTGAAGTCTATTATTAGCAGGTCTGAAAAAATGGCTGACTGCTCAAGTAACCCCTTTGATGGCATGAGTGACTTTGAGAGACAGTTGCAAGAGTTATTTAATAAAATCAGAACTATGATTATGAAAGGCGACAAAAGTGATGCTATAGACCTACTTCAAGCAAACTATGAAGCTGTGAAAGAACAGATGAATGCAGGTTCTAAAGGCATTGAAGAAGCTGCTATTCTTGACATCATAGCCTTGGGATACATATTAATTGGAGACTTGAAGTTTGTACGCTCTTTGCTGAGTACGGTAACTTCATTCTTCCATATGTTTTTTATTATTACTTTGTCACTATACTTTTAATATTCTTTTTTTAATGCCATAATGGTAATATGCTTAGCTTCAAGTATCACTTAACAAGGTTGTACTAGCAAACCATACTACAAGTAACTGTTGATAAGTCTAAAATGATGAGGGCAATGAGAAGTCATATAATCTTTGCTTCTCTTTTTCTGGGATTTCATTCCTTTAATAATAAAAGAAGGGTGGATAATTTGGTTGGTTAATCTTCAGACATATTTGATTGCATAAGTGGGTTTTACAATGAGGCTTAGTTACCAACGTATATAAATTCTATTTTTCATGTCAAAGTGAAAGAAGTTACAGAGTGTTTACCTTTCCTTTATCTGTAATAAAGGGAGCTTTCCTTTTTCCTCCATAAATTCTTGATATTCTGTAGCTTATAGGTTTCTATTGTATTAGTTTCTTCTGTCTTTAAATATTCAATATTTATTAAAAGTTATGTTCTGTTTTTTTATGTAGCAAATAAGTTATGTAAGTTAAGTTTAACCACTGTTTGCTGTGGTCATCAGAGTCAGACATGACAGAGACTAAGAGTGAAAAGATCCTAACTACTCTGGCCTTTTTTTTTTTTTGAATAAAAAAACTGTGTTTTAACAAACAAATTTTGTTACTTTTTTATTTGTGGTAACTTTCCTTGCTGATGGCAGATGAATGGGGTTGTTGACATTCAAAAGGATGATGAGCCCTTATTGGGCTCAATACTTATGCATATGGGAAGTATGTATTCAACTCTGGGGAACTTTGAGAAATCCATGCTTGCATATCAAAGAGTTATTCTTATTTCAGAGAGCAAATATGGTTAGTGCCTCCCTAGAATTTGGAAATGTCTCCATGGATGCTCTTTTGTTTTTATTGCCCATGAAGTAAAGTCTTATCTATAGTCAGTTTGTTTCAGACTATGTCATAATTTCTAGTTCCATAAGCTAGACTTCCTAGTTTTTATTGATTCCTTATTGTGCATGTTTAGATCTTGGAACTCTTTTTGTTGGTTATTGGATAGGACATTAACTTCAAGTTTGAAATACTTACTACTATTACTTTTTTAGAAAGTCACATTATATGACTATTATTTCTAGTTGTTTTCTTATGGCCTGAGCATGAAAGTGTTGCTCTTGTCTTCCACTTTATGCTAGTTATAACTAAGTTACAAGGCCTGGATGACTGGATTTGCTTGCATTAGATTAGAGTCAATTTTTTGGTAAAGCTTCTCAGTATTAACTGTGGTGAGACCTCTTATAAGGATTTATCTTTTTCTGCTTCCTTCTTCAAAATTCCAAGATGGTAATGAATTTGAATCTAATATCAGTCTTAGGTAGATAAAAGAATGCTGTATGCATATGTGTTTTTGTAATTTTTGGATGAAGTATATTCTTCTTGGATTTAGAAATTGCAACTTGGCACTAAATGTAGTAGCATGCACTGCTTTAGAGGTTATTTCTTGATGCAATTATCTGCAGTCCAATAATTTCTCTTTTATCATACCATATTCAGAGAAAATGTTTCTGCAGTTTGATCCTATTTGGTATAGTGGCTCTCTTATTGTCAGATTCTGTATTTTTCCTTTATTTATTATTACTGACTGCAAAGGAACCAAAACACCATCAGTTATCTGAAACCTGTCTTCTTCCAGGACGAGATAGTACTTTCCTTATCAAACCACTGCTGGGGATGGCAAAAAGCCTAGGTTCTATTGGAAGAGCCACAAAAGCATTGGATATCTACCAACAGGTGATAAATATCATTGAATCAAGCGGAGGTGCTAAAAGTGAGGATTTGGTGGTGCCGTTGTTTGGTCTTGGCAATCTTTTGATGAGAGAAAGAAAAGCTGCAGATGCAGAAGGTCCTTTTACTAGGTTAGTTAACTTTGTTGCATGTGATAGGTTTCTAGAGAGAAAACAAGGTTATTCCTCTCATTTTGTGCTTTCTTTTGTAGGATTTTAAAGATATATACTAAGTTATATGGAGAGAAAGATGGAAGGGTTGGACTTGCAATGTGTTCCTTAGCTCGTGTAAAATTTGCAAAAGGTAACTTCTCTAATCTCTTTTTCTGTCCTCTCCTCTCTTGGTATGAGTATTTTCTCCATATGGATTGTGGATGTCCTTTTGAAAAAATAAATAAATAAATTGTATTATTAACTCATATTATGTTTTGGTACTTTAGGGTACTTGTGTTGTCAATCACAAATCAATATTCTCTGTCTCAAACATTTTTATATTTCACTGGGAGCTCATGGCAACGACACTTTTGCAGGGAATACAGATGAAGCCATTGATTTATACAAAAATGCTCTTCAGATTATAAAAGATTCAAGTTACATGGATTTAGATGATGGTGTAATGGAGAATATGAGGATAGAATTGGCAGAATTACTTCATGTTGTGGGAAGGTCAGTTAAGACAAGCTTTGCATTAGTCAGATTATTGTTTTTCATATTTTTTCTTAACATTCTTGTGATAATGCTTTCTCCCTGGATAATTTTTTTATGTTCTAACTAATTTTACATTAGATAGATTCCTCGATATATCTGAGGAACAACTAAGAAGATCCTTCATAGCAATCAATCTATATGCCCTACTTATTGTTTGAACCATATTGAGCAATTATCTGATAAATTGCCAACCAAAAAAATTGTTCCACTAATCCCTGTCTTTACCTTTTTTTCTTTCATTGGAACTGGTACGTCTGGAGTTCATATTAATTTCTATTTAATTTCTGCCAATTTCAAATTTATTCTATTCTCAGGTTAAGTTGTTTGTAAGATTGGGGCTATACATTCTAAGAGGCATTAAGAATCTTCTTGCATAAATATATGAGGATGGTGTAGGGTGGGTCATCCTTCTAAAATTTTTTTTGGAATACCTGTCTAAAAATCTACCTTCTAATTAATATTTCAAAAATTGACCATTGGATTGAAAGTTCTATTCATGTAGATCATGTATATCTATTTTCATATTGATCTAACACTTATAACTCTTTGGTAAAAAAAACTCTATTTACTGACATATATTTAACGATGTTAAATTTCTTATAATTAACGAAGTAGTTAGGTTTATTAGAATAATTTGAAAATTGATGTGCATGATTTATATGAATAAAACTTTCAATTCAATAGTTGGTTTTTAAAAATATTAATTAGAATATGAGCTTTTAGACATGTTCTCTAAAAAAAATTTAGGAGAATGACTTGCAAAACACTTTTCCCTAAATATATAGCTATTGTTAAAGTAGTCTTTTCATTTTGCTTAACTTGGCTTCCTACAGATGGAAAGAAGGCCAACAGCTGCTGGAGGAATGTTTGTTGATCACTGAGAAGTTTAAAGGAAAAGACCATCCCAGCTTAGCTACACACTACCAAAATCTTGCAACCTCCTACTCACGGTTGAAGAATTTTGCAATGGCTGAGCACTTGCTGCGGGCAAGTATGGATGTAATATCAAAGGCCGAGGGGCCAGACCATCCATCCATCACTTTCCCAATGTTGCATCTTGCTGTCACTCTTTACAATTTAAAGAGGGATGAAGAAGCCGAGCAACTTGCGCTGGAGGCTTTGCATATCCGTGAGAAGGCATTCGGAAAAGATTCTCTTCCAGTTGGTAAATACGATTATCCTCCCATTTTTGTCCAGTATCACTTTAAATGTTGCAAGAGGACTAAGACATGTAACATACTGGGACTCGTATCATCTATGTTTCTAAGCCTGTTGGTGGATTTTGATTTGTATGACAGGGGAGGCTCTGGACTGTCTGGTGTCCATTCAGAGCAGAAGAGGGAAGCACAGTGCCAAGTTACTGGAGCTACTGAAGAGAGTCCTGAAAATTCAAGAGAGAGAGTTTGGATATGAGAGTAAGGAGGTAATGGTAACCCTGAAGAAGGTTGTATTCTACTTGAACAAATTGGGGAGAAAAGATGAGAAATTTCCCCTACAGAGGAGGTTGTCCACACTTAGGAAGAAATACAAGCATATTGTTCAATATTAACAGGTTTGCTTTCCCAAGAAACTATAAGAAGGTAATTGCTTATGAATTTTCTAATCCCATTAAGAGATTATCTAAGTTGGCTTATAATACCACCTAAAAATTGTAATAGTTACCAGTTGTAAATAAATTATGAAGCTTTTTCTAATTGCATCAGCAGTGACTTGAATGATGCATTTTCTGCTTCAAAGAACGTCTCAAAACTCTCTTCTACAGTCGAATCCTCCCTCTTTCTCTTCCGCTCCTCCTTGAAATCCATCACCTCTGCAGCAGCCACTGTCGTTAAAAACTGCAAATCTTTGGAAAACCAAGCACAAACATTTATCCGAAGAGTATGCAGGAAGAGAACTACTCCCTGCAGCCAAACCGGGAGGCGCCAAAGAGAAGTTGGTCTGAGAATTCAGAGCCGGAGCAGTTGGGGATGGGGAGGCGGAAGGAGGCACCTGGTGGAGGAGCCAATCAAGGTGTAGGGATGCGGCAGCTGCGGCCTTCCAGTTTTCTGTGTCGATCTTTTGAAGGTTTTGCAGATGGGGTCTTGTTAGAAGTTGACATTCTCAAAGCTTAGCTGAGTTCCTAACTTTAGAGTTTCACTGATTTAATACTCACATTAAGATCTTGATTCTAGAAGGACTTGGATTGTAATTTATGCAACTGTCTAAACTTCTTACCTTAAGAAAAATGAAAGGATGTTAGAGCTCTCCAATATGGGCAAGTGGATGGGTCAACGTTACTTCAAAGAGTCCAAAGAGTAGTAGGTGGAGTTCATCTGGTTTCGATTTCAATGTTGATCTATAAATAAGTACTGAAACTTAACTAATGTTCCTCAAAGAGTTCAAAAAGTAGTAGGTGGAGCTCATTTAGTTTCGATTTTAATGTTGATCTATAAACAAGTACTGAAACTTAACTAATGTTTCTCTTGTAAAAAAAAAAAAATAAAAATGAAAGGATGTTATGAAGACTTTATTCACCATGGACGTTGCACGAATGACCGCAGAAGGGAAGACGGAGTCTTCTACGAGGGACTAGAGAGGGTCCATGTTTTTAAGAAGGGTATCTTTGATCTTATATGGGGTTTATGACAACTAGCATGTTAGATTTGTTTGTGGGACAAAATTTTTTTTTTTTTTTTTAATTAGGATTACATTTTAGGGGAAGGGAAATGGGGAGAACTTGATCCTTAGTCTGGTGAGAATTTTTATATGAGAAGTAATCACTATTCTACTCAAAAATTATTTGTTTGTAGGGCAATTAATAATTTCTTTCTTAAAGAAATGTATATTTAAGATAATTTGAGAAAAAAATATAGACAATGTTATGTATATAATATCATATTATATTATAACAGTTAATATAATATTAAATAAATAAATAAATATATATATAATATCATACGTAATTATGATAAAAAAACACTAATTATAAAACACCACGGCATATTGTATACAAATATTATTCGTGAATCATTTTTCAGCTGTGCTGGGACCCTCTCCAAACTATAAGAAGTGTAGGTGGTGGCAGGGAAAATCAGACCAGTCACAAAAAGGTCCAAAATTTAGGCACACAACAATCTAATTTGTGCTGGGCTTTTGGGGGGGAAGGTTATGTATCATTATGCAAAGGAAGAATATCCAAATTCCATCCAAATCCACCTTTAAAGTATAGTAGTAGAGATAAGTACATTTTTAGATAAAAAATAAAGATAAATTTACTCATAAAATTTTTTATTTGAATAAATCACTTCAAATTTAATACGTGACATTATTTGACATTAATAGTTAGTTAATTTAACATCATCTAACATCAATAATTTATTAATTTAATGTCATCTAATGTTAGTAATTTGTTGTTAGATGACATTAAATTAATAAATTACTAATATTAGATGATATCATACATTAAATTTGAGGTGATTTATACAGATCAAAAACTTTGGATACATTTGTCTCAATTTTTTGTTCCAAAATGGATCCGGATTTGAGTATTTTACCTTATGCAAAATGATGACATTAGGGGTGATTTTCCGTTCAGGATTATAATTTTAGCCATTCGGTGAAATTCTAACGGGAAAAATAGTGATCTCATGACTAAAAAGCCCAGACAAATCATGTTTTCGCCTCGAAAACACGATGGTGAAATTGTAATTTACGTCAAGTGTGGTGGCAGTTTGGGCGAAGCATTGGTTAATAAGGATGATAGAGACGACTCCTCGTTCTCGGGGGTAGAGCGAAGAACACAGAGCCATGGCGCTCGCTATTTCTAATCTCCCGTTCCTTTCTTCTTCTTTTTCGTCTGTAAGTAAAACATGACCCCTTCTGTTTTCCTTTTCCTCTACTGTTTACCCTTAATTGAAACTCTATGCAGAGGATGCAGGCGAGAACCGGAAATGGGAATTCATGGGGTTTATCCAGTTTGAGCTCACAGGTCTTAAGTTCCAAAATCGTTGTCGTTGGTTGAATTTGTTGTCTGATTCTGCTTTTAGTTCTTGTTCTAATTTTGTAGTAAATGAATTTAGTTCCAGGTTGTTTCGCGGTTGCAAAACAACAGTGGTCGTGGTGGTGGCCGTGTTTGGCGCAGAAGAAAATTGGTATGAATGCCGACGGAAAATTTAATTGCTCCCTTTTTTTTCTTTTTGTGTTTATCTGTTTTTCAATTATGTTATTATCCATTTGATGTTGTTCCTATGTAGAATAGCTCAAATTGTATTAGCATTTTTACTAATCCTTCTTGGATTGAGATGGGAAAAGGTTTTTGAGAATTTGAGTTTGTTATGATCTTGAAGGGCAATTGGAAACTTCAAATTATTCTCGCATTTGGTGTCGGTCTGTTTGCCCTGATTGTTGGAGATTTTATGTTGTCATGTATTAGATTAGCACATGCCAAGAGAGGATGACTTCATGTAACTAGACATATAACTTGCTCTCCTAAGAGAACATTCTTGTTCTTACTCATCCAGAAGAGAACACAATTATCGGATTATGGTAATATTGAATAGCCTTCATTCATTTGTTTTGAGAATTTGGGTTGTCTGAGAAATCCTTCTGGATTTTTGAGGTTTATTGGATTAAGGCTGCTATTGAAATTTGATATTTCTGTTAAAATCTGTTGACCATAGTAAATTTAAATAAGAAAGCTACTCAAAATTGATAATGGGCATTTTACGGTTTTTGTTTAGTAAATTAAAGGTAGAAAGTACAAACAGAGTGCAACTGGATGATAATACCTTATTGTTATGGTTTAGGAACCTCTTATTGAGTCATTAAATGTTTGTGTGCTTCTTCATTTCCCATTTCTTTTCTAATAGAAAGCTTTTTCAAAATTTCTGTTGGGGTGAAGGAAGAAAACAGTGTTGGGAGGCAATATAGTGCATCTTAACTGAACTCAACTGTGTCCTAATTGAAATCACTTTGGCTGTGTGGTTTTTCTTCTTCGGTTAAATCATTTCTGAGGAGGATCCTACAAGAAGGAAGTCATTTTCCCCATTCTATATATATATATATATATATAT